AGGAGAAAAAGCAGGAGAGGAGTGTTTAATTTCTTGGCATTTGGGCCAAAACAAGAGCAACCATTCTCGTCCACATTGCACCATATACATCTCCATAAATAGAATAAGTTCATTAACATTTTTTTAAGAAAAAATAAATCCTTCTATCGTGTCTCCGTAAAAGTAAGTAAGAGATGCATAAAAAAAAGAGTTCAATCTCCTGAAGAATTATTGGACTGTAATAGACAACATAAATGTTTTTTTCCAAGTTAGAAAAGACTATTTGTCAAAATCTATTAGGAACCCATGTCTATGGATTTTTATGGATCGCCCCCAGTGTTTGGCCTAGGGCTATGTAGGTGTCAGCGGCAGATAATGAGGCCCTTCTCCTGCCCTCGGGGGAAGCCCGAGTGGTTGATTAACTCATACTTGTCGATTCCCGCCACATTTATTATGGGGTTTTATCTTCTGCATGAAAGTATTCATGAGAAGATTGCCAAATATCAGTCCAGGTTCTTTTGGGAGGTAAATACACGGGCAATTATAGAACTTGCACGTGACGGTCAGTTTGGTACATAAACTTGCAAAAAACATGTTTCTAGTCATCAAACTTGCGTGGGTGTGCAAATAGGGTGCTTTCTACCGTAGCTGGGCGTATTACATGCATGTGGCGTGCCAACATTACATGGGCCCGCTGTCAGTGGCTGAGGAGGTGGGTAATCCGCATGCGGTTTTTTTTTCAGAAAGCACCTTTGCATATCATTTTTTACACAGAAAAATCTGAAATAAAACGGAAAAAAAGATGGATCAGTATGGATGGGATTCGACCACACCTGCAATTCGCATGCATATTGCCCGCCAATCGGCTAACTGACGTTTGACGTCTAACGTGCACAATTAGCTTTATATACAAGGACCGTTCTAATTAAAATAGAAATCAAAACCAGAAAAGGGTTTGTGAAAAGGTGGAAGCCCCGGTTCGAACCATCCGGCCACAATGACACATAAAAAGATAATGACAATTTATCTTATGTATTTTGCTTTTGTTTTTTCTATGTAAGAAAACAACTTATATTCTACATAAATTTTTTGGATAGATTGACTAGATTTCTCTTTTGAATTTGAGTATTTTCCGGAATGAATGCATGTATTTTTTACGAACAAATCAACCAATTTTCGTTAGAGTATCTGTAGCAGACCCCTTATATGTGGACCCTTGTAGTGTGTTTATAGTGTCTGTTCAGACAACTTTTTGGCGCAAAACCGTAAACTGGCGATTATTTTATGGGTTGGCGCAATATGAGGGATTTGCTAGAGATGTGCTTAGAATTCAAAAATATATATTAGAAAATCTAGATAAAACAAAATATAGTGCAGAATGAATGTATGTTTGCGGGCAAATTAACTAATTTTTTGTTTGAAATCGAATACTTTTAAATGAAAAAACCTAGATAAAATAAATGTAAATAATTTCCTTTGGACAAATCAAAAGAAATTTCTGTTTGAATTCAAATAACTTTAAATTTAAAAATCTTGATTAAAGAAAATATAGGTCAGAATGAATGTACATTTTTTTGACAAATCAACCTTTTTAAGAATTTGAATAACCCAAACAAAAGATAATATAGTCCATAATGCATTTACATAAATTTCTTTCGAACAAATCAACGGAATTTTGTTTGAATTCGAATAATTTTAAATTAGAAAACTAGATTGAAAAATATAGGCCAGAATGAATGTATGTAAATTTTCCAGACAAGTCAACTAAAAATTTGCTTGAATTCTAATAATTTTAAGTTACAAAATCTAAAAAGCAAAATATAGTGCAGAATGAATGTCCTTAATTTCCTTTCAGACAAATCAGCAGAAAATATGTTCGAATTTTAATAATTTAAATTTGAAAATGTTAAGAAAAGAAAATATAATTCTAAATGTGTACCTTTATTTAGCCTAAAGGATCTACACATTGGTAGTCCGTGTAAACAACAACGGTGGTGTGGTTAGACTCTAGCGCTATTATAGCTAGTCGATGGTTCGAACTCCCTCAGACCTATTTTCTAGTCCAAATTATTCATAACGCACACTGACGGGCAGGACCCAGCAGGATACTATTTAACATTACATGTGTTGGAGGGTTTTTGTACGAAGTTCAAAAAAACTTGAGGGTGTTTCTATAAAAAAATATCACATGCACAACGCTTCAGCCACTGACAATGGGCCCCGGCCATGCTGGCATGCCATGTAGGCAGTGAATACATCCGTGTACAGGAAATGTGACCGTATTTGCACGTCCACGCAAATTTGATGACCAAAAACACGTATTTTGCAAATTTATGCATCAAACTGACCGTCGCATGCAAGTTCTAGGACTCCTGGTGTATTTATCTGGTGAGAAGGGCAAACAAAACTATTATATGGTCAAATGGTCCGAGTTATGCAAGCCAAAAGATCATGGGCTCTGGGCACCATCTTTACTAAACCCATGAATCTGCCTCTTCTCTCAAAGTGGATTTGGCGTATTGTCACCAACGGGGTGGTCCTTTGGGCATCCCGAAGGTCTTGCTTGGGCGGCCCTGCTAGAGTTCCTACACGAGTCTTCTTTGTCCGACGAGTCTGGTCACATGTCTTGCCATTTGGAGCCCTTCGGGGTATTTTCGACCAAGTCGGTGTATCATGTCATTGCGGCCTCTCCTGGATCAGAGGAATTGACTCAAATCTGGAGCGCCAAGATCCCCTTTAAAATCCATATTTTTCTTTGGCAACTCATTCGTGGTCTAATCCCTTCGGGAATGCAGGTCTTAAAGCGCAATGACCCCGACAATGGGCGCCGCCGCTTGTGATTTGTGGAGGAAGACTCCAATCATATTATTATTTTCT